AAGATGAAATAAGTATCTTGCTGCTTTGAAAAGAAGAATTTGCTCAAAAAAACGTTATTAGGAAGAGTAGGTTGATCTTGTTGGGCTTGCAAGTCTTTGATGCATTGTTTAAATTAATTAAGTGCACACTCTTATTCTATCATTAGGAGCATTTCCCTGGAGAAGCCAAGATACTGATGTTTTTGTGAAATGATCGTGAACCATACTGTTTCAAAATTTTCCTCTATAAGGAAAGAACTCAAAGCTTTGAGGGGGGAAAAGTAATTGTAACCAATGTGCTATAATGTAAGTCCATGCACCTATATCAACTTTAGCTAATCCTCCCTCCCTGTTTAGTATTATACTTGGAACACAATGAGCTACCTGAAGTGTAGCTCTTAGAAACTAGGATTGCATCCTTTCCAGAGGAGTAAAAGACAAGCAAAGTCCCAGCTCAGCACCAAAAACTAGTTGTGCTTGAGCCTTAGCTATTCAGTGCTCCTGGAATATACTGTGCTGCTCTGGGAAGGTCTCCTTAAAAATTGCAACAACTTAAGATCAAAATTCGAAGCGTAATTATCAGGGCCCACTTCAATACCTCATCCTAAGAAAGCAGAACTCGTGGAAGCAGTTTCTTCCAAAGGAACTTTTATTAGAAGCTGATAGCAGGCATAATAGGCATGATCTGAGGGTTTCCTGCTCAGATCAATAGGTTAAAAGAGTCCCAAGCAAACCCCACCCCAATAGTTCAACTGCTCAGTTTGAACCAGCCAATCCTCAGGTGTTAAGTCTGTTGTGGTAAAGGAGCTGATAACACCTTTTCCAGGCCAGCAGCAAGGTTGTTGGGTCTTCACACCTTCCCTTCCAAAACGGGAGATAAGCCAGATGGCTGGAGGCACATTCCTTTCTCACCCTAAGGTAACATCAAGAGAGAGACAGTTCAAAGAGTGAATATGCAGAAACAGTGGAAGGGATACATTGTAGCGATAGAAACAAGAGACAGCTCTTAGCGTCTTCCCCCCTCCCCTTCAGGAGTATGACGGAACCCAGAATAATGGAATAAAAGAAATAGAAAAGTCCCCCTTAATATATAGATTCTGACACATTAGTTGAGGACTATCTGTAAATACTTGGTTTCATGATAATATTTTGTCCCTAAGTTTTAAACATTTTTCTACTTTTATATTGACATATTCATTTTTTGAATCTATTATCAAATAACCAATATTGCTAAACTGAAATCCACAGCACTTATTTAGTGGTGACTATCCCTTAATCTTCATTTTCACTCAAATTACTTCCTTTAGTTAATAATCTTTTCAGTACTTGTTTTCTCTAGTTATCATGGGCAGCCAAGCATGCTGGTGACTAGTTAAATTTCTAGTGAAAATTTGCTCAAAAATGACTTCAATTTCCCCTTTTATTTCCATTGTCTCATTTCTTGTGTGGCCCAAAATCTGCTCTGATTTGTTCCTTTCTCTTTATTTGGACAATAAAATTTTATTTGGTTGGTGAAAGAAAAAGGATTTTTTTTTGCTAGATATTGAAAATTACCTAAAGATGTTTTCATGGACATAGTTTTTTTTACTGACAACTAGAACTAACTTTCTTCTTTCATTATGTGCCAGAGGTGGTGATTGTTTTGTTGATGAATATAGAAAAAGTTATAGTCCAATGTTCCATTCTTCTAATTTACAACATCAATAGTAATGAATGATGGATGAGATATACAAACATTAATAAATAATCTTAAAAGGTGTACTAAATCAAAGGAATAGACCAAGGAATGATCTTGTATAATGCTTCAAAGGGGATAAGCTAATTTGAGTGTCATTAATTTTGCTATATACAACAAATAAACAAAATTCCATTTAAAATAGAGGTATTCCCAACCAGGTAGGTATTGAATTGACATTGACACCTTTCCTTGCATTTTATGTTACTATATGAAACCTTTAAAACAAGTCTCTATTAATTAAATATGTTTGGAGGCAGGTGTCATATATTACTAAAACATCACTCTTGCAGTGCTGTATTCTCTTTTATTTAATGATAATTGTGTTTAGCTACAAAATGCTTTAATTCATTATTTGATTCCATTTGAAATATTGAAATGGTAATAGACATTGGAAGTGAGGATGGAAAAACTATGGGTCATCAAATATTGCTGAACTACAACACAGCTTCTCTTACTATTTGCTATGCAGGCTGCTGACAGTAAAAGTTGTGCTTCATTAATTATTAAAGCCTGATGCCCATCTTATTCACTTATTTTTTGCCCTATAGCCCTCTTAGCTATCCTATTATTTCTCCTAGCATGTTGGAATGTGATGCTTTGTAACAAAAATGTTACATGTTTAAAATTATTTATATAACTCACAGAATATTCTTGTGCATGACTACTTAGTGGGGCTTCCTCATAGGTCAATGTGAATAGGATCACACTGCATTAAAATGTATTCTTTTTCCAAGCATAAATAATCTTTATTTTTTCTAGCTTTGTAAATGCATGTTTGTATGTGTCTGTTATGTTAATTTTTAAGTTTATCTGTGCTATTTTACTTCTCAGTTCAAGTAGTTTTGTCAGATTCCCTGCCAACAAAATAGGCAAAAATAGGCTTTAGGCTTTGATATTAAGAAATACATTGCTAACTTTTCTAGATAGTATTACAAAGATTCATGGAGTTAAGAGCTACATACAGGTAGTCCTTAATTTATGACAGTAATGGAGGCTACCCATTACAATTGTAAGTCATGACAATTGTAAAGCTGGTCACTCAAGTGACTAACCCGAGTTTACAACCCTTTTTTGTGGTAGTTAACTCAATCACTAACAATCATTAAGTGAACCTCTGGTTGTAAGGTAAACTCATGTGAACTATGGGATGTTTTAGTTGAAAACTGGACGTAAATACTGAATTTTGTTTAAAATGTTATAAATTGTAGTCACATGACCATAGTAATCTGCAAACAGCTATGAATGCAGGCTAGTTGTTGAGGCCCCTAGCACCCAAAATGCAGTCATGTGACCTGGCTGGGAGCTATTGGAATTTCGGAACTGGCTTGTAAATAGCTTTTGGGTGTCTTGTAACTTTGAATGGTTGGCAAATATCCAGACATAAGTTAAGGACTACCTGTATTTGAAGCATCCATATTTAATTCCTATGGAAGCTAGCATATCATGCAAAACTTTTAGGCTATCTACTATTTACATAAGCATTATATAGAATGCCTTTCAATAGAGATCTTTCTATAGGAAGTATTAAAAGCTGCTGAAGTAATATACTTTTAAAATGTGTTATGAAATAACTGAGTAAATTCTAATTAACTCTTGATTAGGTTATTGCTCTTAGTGTTGGATATGTAGTTTAGGCTAATTTTTCTTCCTAAAATGGATTGGCAACCTCCGCCCTTTGTAGATGCTCAGTTCTACTATTCAAGTCCTCGTAATGTACATAAATCATGAATAAATTTAGTGGCAAGATGGCTATATGTAGAGAACACTATCTGCCAGAATTTTTTTTTGTCCTCCCTGCAAAAGAGATGCTTAATGTCTGAACCAAAAAACTCTGATTATCTCTTTTCCCTTCTGTTGATGATACCATATAATCAAGCATGTTTCTTGCAGCTATCAGAGACTACAATACCACCTTAAAAATACAGTCAATAACATCCCAAACATTGTTACCTCTGCCTTAAGGAATATAACAGTTCTTTGACATTGCAGTTTTAGTGGCTAATTTAAATTGTATTTATTTATGATTTACTTTTTGAAGCTATTATCCTAATTAAAATGATCCATGCATTAATGGAATGTAAATAGGGTATTCCAAATAGTGCAAGCTTTTAGAGCACTATATAAGTGTTATTTTCTGATAATTATCTTAAAACTTTCATTATAAAATGTTAAATTTTAATTTAAGAGATAAGTACAATACATACCACTTTAGCTTTGAAGAAATTAAGACCATAACATAAATGGGAATAATAATAATAATAATAATACTATGGAATATCAATTGAGTTGCAGGTTTGTTTATTTCAGTGTAGATTTTGGGACCAGACCACAAAACACATTCTATTTTTATTATTGATATCCTTGTTGAGGGGAAAATGTTTCCTTAAAGCTCCCTATCCTGGAACAGCTTGAAATGATAATCTTTGGACCTGATCTTTGTCACTTTTTGATTATTCTGAAAATATTTTTTAGGGTGGGAATATGAATGGGAAATTTTGGAGAAACAAACTAACTTTATTTGGCTTAAAGCTTCTGGATTTCTCAAATAAGTACTTGAATTGTGATTTCCCCCATCCCCCCTATGGAAATTTTTGCAGAAATTTGGCACAGTTGGTTTGATACGTAGTATTGTCATTTGTAGCTCTCCCAAAGATTGGGGCTCTTTACTGGTTCTCAAGCCCTCAAATGTTGTCAGCTTTTGGTCTACTGTTTTGACACTGAAATAACTACTGAGAAACTTTGATTTGAAATATTCCACTATTGAAGGTTATTATTGAAAGACATAAATTGCTTTTCTTTTCAATTGAAATTGTGTTTATATTCAGATAGACTTGCTTATGGGATAATAAATGTGTTAATCTGATAATTCTATATTTGAATTTGCTAGTGCAGACTATATAGGGCTACTGTTTTCCTAGAAGTAGATATCTGAAAATCCTTGTCTGTTTCCAAGGAACATGAATGTCAGGCATTTAGAATAAGATTTAGAAGTCAGCCAAGCTCTTTGTCCTCTCACATTTTGTCCTTTTCTCTGAACAAGTGCCAGTTTGCACAGATTGTATGTCAGTTTAAATACAATATAGATCAGTGTGCCTGATATTTTCCATAAAAGACTTCAAAAAACTTTAGGTAGTTAGTAGATGGGAATGTTCTTTCACATTAAATTGTTTTGTAGAATTATAAAACACCCTTTTGAATGCTTTCAAACAAATTGTTGTCATCCACTAATGAATGAGATACCATCTGTAATAATTAAGGTTATTCCAATTGTTTCTCCCTACAGCAAAACTTCTGAAGGTTTGGAGAAGATTGTAAAACAACGGCCAAGAAGGACTATAGCAGTATTGTAAGTACTGCACTGAAAAGAAAATGTAAATTAAGCATTTTGCAAATAAACTGCCTATATATATTTGATGAAAAATTACTTTGTGGAAATGAATTACATGGAATGTAAAAGCATACTTTATAACTGTAGTCTTGTTAAGTTAGCAGGATTGCTTCATTCTTGTAAAATATGAAGTGTATTCTTGTAACATAATTAGAAATTCACCAATATCACAGAAAAATATCTTTTTATCTAACCAAGATTGATCTATTTTATATACATTTGTTTATTTAAAACTATCAGAATTTTAGAAAATCATTATAGTTTTGTTGAGTTGTCATTTATTTTAGTGACTTATTGTTTAGGTTATTTTGCAGAATTATTTATTTGCTGATTTATTTATGTATTTCATTATTTATTTATTTGATTATTTAGTAAATTATTTATCTGATGAATTATTAATACATCTTCATGACAGGCTTTAAATTATTTATAACTTAATTTTGATTTTATTGCTTTTCAACGCAGCATTGTTACTGATTACATTTTTTCCCTCCTCTTACTTGGTTCTTGAAAATTAAAGTGTTAGCTTTGAGGCAACTTTATATTCATTGCAAGATTCTCTCTCTCTCTCTCTCTCTCTCTCTCTCTCTCTCTCTCTCTCTCTCTCTCTCTCTCTCTCTCTCTCTCTCTCTCTCTCTCTCTCTCTCTCTCTCTCTCTCTCTCTC